TTATGAAAGAGAAATGAAAACTTATATTCCCCCTAAAGGGGAAACAAAAAAGAAGTTCAAGGATCCCAATGCACCCAAGAGGCCTCCGTAAGTATCTCGCCTGTTTTTATTTTCAGGGAGGGTTTTGCAGTAGATTAAGATAGAAGTTAAGCAAGCCACCTTGTGGGTTTGGAGTGTATGATCAAAGTTTCTTAGCTGGTTAAGTAGTTCACATTGGTATATTTGAATATTGTAAGTAAAATTCCTATCAAATGGGAGGTTTAGCCAGAGCATTTGAATTAAGACACTTGCCTCCTTCACTTGATACATCTAAATATAAGTTTATTTTATTTTTTTGAGAAACACCAATTACCCAAAATACTTTAGGGTGATTTAGTGCATCTTCAACTAGTAGTGCCATAAGTTTAAATAGCTCTAAGTTAAGCTTTGGTTATGAAGACTGTTTAGATATAATATTTGCACCCTGTCCAGTATCTGGTAGAAATTAGAAGCAGCTTTTATGTAATAGTACAATACACATTTGATAGTCAACTTAAAATCCTAAAATTAAATTTATCTTTTTAGTTCGGCCTTTTTCTTGTTTTGTTCTGAGTATCGCCCAAAAATCAAAGGAGAACATCCAGGCCTATCCATTGGTGATGTTGCAAAGAAACTGGGAGAAATGTGGAATAACACTGCTGCAGATGACAAGCAGCCTTATGAAAAGAAGGCTGCTAAGCTGAAGGAAAAATATGAAAAGGTAAGAAGTATGGATTTGCTCAGTGTAACAATGAAAGGGTATGCCAGATGTTAGATTATAGTTAGTACCTCATCTCAGTTTCCTATTTTCTTGTGGTTTTCTCTAAAAGTTTGGGGTGTAATGCAGTTTTTAGATAAACAGCTACATTCAGTATGCCATTGGCTGGCTATAGTCTTAATTCTTTTCCATCATTCAAAGAGTACAGAAGATCAAATAAATTGTTACACTTTTTTTTTTTTTTTTTAAACACTTGGGTGCAAAGGCCATACACTTAAGCAGCTTTTATTACTCTCTGATACCTCCAAATTTGTGGAGATTCTGGTGGTCCCTTTGAGTCAAATGATTACTTTAAATGATGAGACACATTTATAAAAACAGTCTGGGGAAATTAATAAATACTATATCCTTCGTAAAGCTACCCTGAAACATTTCTGTTGCCTCCTTAGATAACAAGAAAAAAATCCCAACTTAGTTAAAAAAAAAAAAAAGTTGGAAGTCTCTTGATCTGTATAAATTGATAAAAAATTTGGCTCCTGTACTTTGAATTGGAGTATTAAGTTGAATTTTAACTTATTTAGGTGTCTGAGAAAATGTTGGTTGCTAGATGTTTCTTAACCTGATTGCATGCTTACTAGCAAATTACCTTTTTTGTTGTTGTTTTTAAGACAAAATTTCCTACTATGGATTAGGGTCTGATAGAAACCTGTAGAATGTTGTTTTGCATTCAGAAGGTGGCAGTGTCTACCCTTTAATCAAAGACTGCATTCTAGTTTTAATAAAGCTAAAGTTAAGATGTGGTACATAATTGTACTTCAGTGAGGCGTAACATTGCAGATTTAGATCATGTCATTCTGTAGGTTATGCATTATTAATTGCAGTTATTTCCTAGTGTTTTTATATGCATATTCTTCAGTCCTTCTTATATATGGAGTCAGGGTGAGTCTATAGATATGTAATATTTTTATGTAATTGGGGTCTTGACGTTTTCATGAAGTTTTGGTCAAGTTCAGTGTTACTTTTAGTTCTCCCTTTACTTAACTGTTTTGTCTTTCCTTCCACTTTCTCCTGCTGTTATTTTGGAAGGATATCGCTGCATACCGAGCTAAAGGAAAGCCTGATGCGGCAAAAAAGGGAGTTGTCAAGGCTGAAAAGAGCAAGAAAAAGAAGGAAGAGGAGGAGGATGAGGAAGATGAAGAGGATGAGGAGGAGGAGGAAGATGAAGAAGATGAAGATGAAGAAGAAGATGATGATGATGAATAAGTTGGTTCTAGCGCAGTTTTTTTTTTCTTGTCTATAAAGCATTTAACCCCCCTGTACACAACTCACTCCTTTTAAAGAAAAAAATTGAAATGTAAGGCTGTGTAAGA